TGGAGGAGAGAAGGGGAGAAGTGAAGGCACGGGTGAGAATACCGTTGGATTCTGGGACAGGTAAGTGTGTGTTTATTAAAAGTCAGCAGCTACAGTTTTTGTAGCTGCTGACTTTTAATAAACACAAAAACGTCTGGAACTCCGCTTTAAGAGCGCTGTCACACTTCTTGCGTAACCTAAAAACTTCTAGAGCTCTGCCTGCCAGACAATGAGGAGTGATGTTGCATCTGCGCACATCACCCCTTCCATCCACCGCCCAAGGATCTCAATCTGGGAAGGCTTGCTGCATAGCTGAAGGAAGGAAAACACAGGCATTAGTGGGGCCTTATGTCTAAGGTTTGCCTAAGGCCTCACAAAGCCTAGAGCTGCCTCTGCCTAGTGTATTCATTTTCGAGATCTATATGAACAAAATGCAAATTTGTCATATGGATATTTTACCACCACTTCAAATCCCCTAAATATGTAATCCTGTGTTCCAATGATAATATCATTTAGGTAGTATGCAGGTGGACCTTGTCGTCTTTAAACCTTAGATATCTAGGCTCGGGTGTTCTTTACTAATGACAGGTGTGATTATGTCATGCAAAGATCAATCGAGCTGTCTAAGGGCCCTCTGAAAGAAGTTTGTGGATGTAGGAGTCTGGCAATGGATTTAAAAAGATTGCCAAATTATGTAAATCCGGTATTCAAGGAAAATAATTTACATTAAAATTGGCTGGGAATTTGTCCAAGACTGGCCAGCTCAGCAAATTCAACCCAAGAGCTGACTGTTTTCATGCTAAAAGAAATATCCAAGAACCCTAACATTTGATTGTGGGCTGTTACGGTAACTCTTGCAAAAATTGGCGTCAAAGTGCATGCATCTACTTTCAGAAATAGATTGCACCAATTCAGCCTGCATGAGAAGCATGCCAGGAAATACCCTTTGCCAAAAGTTCAATAGTAAACTGTAATCTTTCTCTAATGTTCTCTTTGGATATCAAAGATCAGACCTTTTGGAACATTGTGCTGAATAATGATCAATCAAAGCTAGAGGTAACAGTAGATATGTTTTCTGACCAAAGAGCATTCATCAGTGTGCCAGATGAGAATGTGAGGCCATCTGCCCTATCTGAACCCGATAATGATCCGGAGCACACTAGCAAATCTACCAAGGAATGGCTTAAAGGATAAGTTCACCTTTGGGAACATGTTACATGTTCCACCTATTTTTAGGGTGGAACATGTAACATGTTAAAAAAAAACCAATACTGGTGAAGCGCTTCACATGAAAAACTAAATAAGTAGGTGCAATAATATAAAAATACATATAAAATGACCACACTGTATTGAAAGGTATAGATAACTAGTGCTAAATAACCCCCCCAAAAAATATATAAGTGCCAAGTGCTGAAAATGCAAAACAGGTCATGCGTTTGCTGACTAGATCGTGCCAAAATGCAATATTCAGTTAGAGTGTGCAATGTTAATGTGTATTATGTTTACTGTGCATATGTTGTATTTTGGCACGATGTAGTCAGCAAAAGCATGACCTGTTTTGCACTTTATTGTAGATTTTACTTTCAACCAATATTCATACTCATACTGAGCACTTTCCACTTTCAGTTAGTGTTCAATGTTAGTGTATTATGTTTTTACTGTGCATATATTGTATTTTGGCACGATCTAGTCAGCAAACGCATGCCCTGTTTTGCATTTTCAGCACTTGGCACTTATATGTTTTTTGGGGGGATTATTTAGCACTAGTTATCTATACCTTTTCAATACAGTGTGGTCACTTTATATGTATTTTTAATATCATTGCACCTACTTATTTAGTTTTTCATGTGAAGCGCTTCACCAGTATTGTTTTTTTTTTTTTTATGTCATACATCTTGTGGTATTGGGAATAGGTGGTAGCAGCTTGCATATATTTGGGGTTGTGTTTGTTCATACCAGTGGAGCGCAGGGGGATTATTTTTATACATGTAACATGTTCCCACTGCTGTTGCCTCTCCCTGATTCACTGGCTCTAGTGAGAGCAATCTGAGGATGTTCTCCCTGAACTTGTCACAATTAACAAAAAAATTAATAAACAAAAAAATAACTATTTCTGTGAATGGGAAAACTACAAAACTAAAACTGCAAAAAATAATAAATGCCTCCTTTTTTAACTGCAAAAAGGGAAATGTATCCTTTTAAAGGAAGCAATAGAGAGTTCTGGGTTGCCCTAGTCAAAGACATTTGATTCCCATTGAGGTTTTGTAGGAGAATTTCAAAATTGCCAGTTCATGCAAGGAAAGCCGCAAACATCTTTCTAAAGGATTTTGCATGGTGTAGAGATTCTAATCTGAAACCCCATATTCTAATTTCATGGCTTTGAAGTTGTGGTAAAATCTGCTATGAAAAATCTTGCATTTTTGTTTATTTAGATCATAAACATGACTATTTGTTCAAGTATGTTGCTTATATCTGTAGATCCAATATGAATTAAGATTTTATGTTTCCCTGTTTTAGGTCAACAACTTTGCTTGGGATGTTTTTTATGTGTATGTTTGTGTTTTTTTTAGGTCCTAAATGGTAGACATGGATAGCATTACACATGGCCCAGCTGGATGTTATAATGCATAGATTAGTATTGTTTTGCAGTGCGTAGTGACCTATTTCTGTTTTTCCTTCATTATGCGCTTGCGAGGGTTGATGTGCTTTTTGTTTGTTTGAAAGTGCGCCATCTGGCTTGACCTTGTAATTACATGAGACAGCAGATAGTATGTGAGCTATGATTCCATCTGGCATGTTGTGCTGGCTGCATCACCCAGTGACAGTGGAATGAGGAGACAGTTCTGCATTGTTAATTGCTACTTAAGAAGGGTATTTCTTGCCTCAAATATTATAACTTGTTAGGCACAAATGTATTTTTGTATGCGTTTTTTTAAAATCTGACTTCTTTTTTTTTTTGTCTTTTATGGTGACACAGTTGCAGTGCTTCTTGTGCAACCCCAATTCCAAAGACATTGAGACACTGTGTAAAATGTACTTGTGGCTGAACCATGTCCCCTGGTCCCTCCTCACAGGATTTGACAGATCTCCCTCTCCTCCTCACCCTTCATGCATGATAATAAAAAAAGCCTTCTGTGTGCAGCTGCTCCCCTAATACTGTGGGCAGCAAAGTGGCTAAATGGTTAGAACTTCTGCCTGGCAGTACAAGGGTCATTGGTTCAAATCCCAGCCACTGCACCACCTTGCATGTTCTCCCTGTGCTTGTGTGGGTTTCCTCCCACACACCACCAAGATCCTGTCTAAATTGGCGCGTGTGTGTGTGTGTGTGTGTGTGTGTGTAGGTGTGTGGTGTGATCCTTAGTTAGTTTATACGCCCCTTGAGGGTTAGGGACTGATGTGAATGTACAATATATATATGTAAAGTGCTTCGTAAATTGATGGCGGTATACATGTACCTGAAATAAATCCAGCGATCCAGCGATGTGCATGAGATCTTTGGCTATCCCGGACTCTCCCTCCTCATTGTCTGAGACAGCAGCAGATGCCGTTGGCTCCTGCTGCTGTCAATAACAGCCAGTGAGCCAATAAGGAGCGAGAGGGGGTGGGGCCAGAGCATTGGCTCTGTCTGTGAATGGACACTCAGAACAGTGGATCAGCAGGGAACCTGCTTTGGTGCCCCCATTTTCAAGCGGTTTGCTCTGGAGACACTTGGCAGGCGGGGAAGGGGCCAGGAGCATCGGTGAGGGACCCAAGAAGAGGTGGATCAGGGCTGCTCTGTGCAAACCACTGCACAGAGCAGGTAAGTATAACATGTTTGTTATGAAAAAAAAAATTTTTTTTAATTTCACTTAACACTAATCTGATGATCTGTAAAGGCTTTTAAAGCATCACCTATGGATATTTTTAAGTACTTGATGCAACCCCATCTTTTCAATTTTCAAAAAAACAGTGTTGTGTTTTTGTTTTGTTTTTTTCCCCCTGAAAATACAGTATGTGTTTTGATAAACAGTTGTGCAAATATTATGCGACATAAAAAAAATTGGAGAAAGTATCTTTTCATTCTACAGGGCCTCTGCTTTCAGAAAATATGTATAATGTTTTGTGGGGTTTAAGTAATTTTATACCCAAAAATGCAGGTTTTTACATGTGTGCAAAAAAAAAAAAAAAATGGAAAACTTGCTCTAGTGCAAAAGTGGTTAAGGTTTTTATTCTAGAAAATCTTAAAGAAAATATGTACAACTATGTTTTTCCCTTTTTTAATAATGACCTCCACATTTTGGTTCTGCTAAAATCTATAAATAAGTACAACAGAGGTGTTTAGGACTTTTTGCTTAGTAAATGGAGCATATGTAGAACTCTGCAAGCCCTGAAAAATCGAAGAAGGCATATCAAATTTAAGACTTGGTATTTACTTTTATGAGATCGCATTCTGTTCCAGGGATATAAGCCTTTGACCAGTTGTACCATAATAAACCCCGAAAAACAAACATGCAGTGCTGTCATGCAAGTTGTCTGTTAGAGGTTCAGAAATTTTGCTGTGTGTACCTGTGGCCAATAATTGTAACACTAGTATTAATTTTCACATTACATTTCTGTTAATTTTTGCCTACGCCTAGTATTCTGGACAAGCTTGAAATAAAAAAAATATATATATTAATCCCACACATGTACTTCCTTGACTTGTATGACGCATTCACAGACCCTGCATTCTCTACTATATCATATCTGTTTGCAGGCAGTAGAGTATTATGGGATATATAGTTCTAAAGTAAACCAAAGGTTGAGAGAGAAGAAGCTGCAAAGCATGCAGGGCATCCAGGAAATTGTGGAAGGAGATGTCCAGCAGACAGACAGCACTCACAACATAAAAGGAGATTTTGCAAGAAAGCATAACTATGATTTTGCATTGCTATTACAAAGATGATGCCATAAAAAAAAAATGCCTTCTTTCCCAAAATTAGTAAAAAAATATATATATATTTTAATAAGCAATCTGATCATTCTTATTCTCTGTTCCCCAGAGAAACCAGTATCACCCAAGTCTACAACACTGAAAAGCCCACCAAAAGGGTTTGAAAACATCTGCAATCAACAAAAGCTACTACAATGTGGTAAGTACTTTTGCGTGTTTAACCTGTACTGTTGGCTTTGGAGGTATAACTACATAACTTTTGTACACTGTGCTAACAACACACAAGGAGCCCATTTGCTATTATTTTCAGCCTTGAACCAAAAAGTTGTTATGGTTTAAGACTGAGTAAGCAGTGAAAACCTGGATTATCTAGTAATAGGAAAATAATTGATACATCATCACATAAAAGAGAAGCTCCAGTTAACAGCTAATTTCAACTGTCATATTTTATGCTTCAGAAGTTAAAAAAAAAAAAAAAAAAAAGTCTTACATTTGGGAAAAGTCCTGTATGCTGCAGTGGTTGAATGGGATCCTTCAGAAATGCTTCTTTTTTTTTCAGGTAAAGGTAAAGTCAGGTAAATCTGACATCGAGACATTGTTTTGTCTCCTCTACCATGGCTTTCTAAAGTCCCATAAGCAGTACATATAGTTTATGTCCTCCTACAGTTCATTGTGCTCGGTATGAGAGAGATTTTTTTTTCTGGACTTGTTTGGATACAATACTGATGATGTCCATATTTCTGGCACTTGCAGGGCTTTACTTACTGCGATTCCAAAACGCGCAACAGGCATTTGGGTGCCGTTCAAATGCAGTGCAATTCTGGCCACATGAGTTTAAAAATGGAGTACAGGGCCTGGCAGCAAAAGTGGTTTAAGCACAAGTGTGAATGGGCACTCAAATTACAAAACCAGTTTTTTTGGGAACATTATGTATATTTTTTGTTATAACTGCAGCACATTTAGAGGATATTGTCTTTACCTCTCTGCTCTGATTTGTGTTTTTATATTTTAGATCATTCTATCGGTCTGTCTATGTCCTTTTTTTTTTTTTTTTTTTTTTTAAATATATTTTTAGTAGTAATTTATTGTTAGTTTATAGTTTGCATATAAAAATGGCAATGGTTTATTTATTAGTGGTATAGGTTGTATTCTCTATTTTCTGCTGTTGGTTTGTAAGTAACCATGCACACTGGGCTTAATTAAAAAAAAAAAAAAAAAAAAAAAAAAAAAAAGCTGCTTCTTCATACGTTCTGTGTTTTTGCCTGTAGAAGCAGCTTAATGTTATCCTATGTGTCCATGCACATTAGGACGTTTAGGGGCATAGTTTATAGTCAGTGTTTTTAGAGGCAGGAAAAAAAATCCTTTTTGTTTTGCATTTTTGAGAGCAGTTTTCTGGAAGAAAAAAAGAGAAATGTGCCCAGCTGCTAGTATAAAAAAACTGCTCAAAATGAGTGTTCTGCCAAGGGAACATGCATTTTTTTAACCAGTGTGTATGGACCCTAAGAGCTGTTCTTTTCTCAGCCCAATTCTAGATTGCTGTGCATTATCAATGCAAGTTGATGGTATTGCAGATTTGTTGGTTGTGTGAAGCATAGGCAGCCTTTGTCAATTTGATCAGTTTGACGTCAGTCTGACATGCTTCTGAGATTGTTCAGAATTCTTTGACAGGTGCATTTAACCTGCAGCAATCCTTCTGTCCTACATTTGAACTGCTTCAAGCTGGTTTTGCATCCCCACAGACTTCTATAGGAATGTATAACCTGTGTAAAGCAAAGCCTATTGACTCAGGTCATAACTGTGTTTTGTGATGCAGTGCTTTGGGTTTAAACACTTCACATGTTATGATCGGCATCATGTAGTTACATCTTTTATACTTATGCAGGTTTTGTTCGTTTTTTTTTTTTATCAAATTGTGTGCCAAGTTTTCTTTTTGTGTATAGTGTTGAAAGCAGTCCATAATTTATCTCCTAGTGTCTCAAACAAGCTTTGAGCTCAGTACTATAGAACAAAGAATGCCAAACGTGCAAGTTTACTTCAGGTTGTGTAGCCCACAGAAACAGGCTAGCAAATCAAATTTGCTTGAAAGACAATAATGCCCTCTTGTGGTACAATTACCACAATTACAATGTGCTGTTTTGGTGTGTTTTATGGTTCAATCTTTCCACTGCTTTCATAATAACTAGGTGGTATGAATAATTGCTTATTTAGATTGTTATTTTACAGTGCGATTATCAATCTTTTCTTCAACATTGGCTGGTATTCATAAGTCATCACTGATCGTACAACACTAAACTGTCAAAATTTTATATTTGTCACATTGTTGTGGTGTTAATTTTTTTGTTACACAAAATTTAACACAATCGCTTTTTTTCTCTGTATAGTTTGTTGGCAATTATTAGGGTACTACTACAACTAAATTCCCCACAAAATTGGGACACTGTGTAAAATCTACAAAAAAACTGAATGCAATGATTTGCAAAGCTCATAAACAAACAGAACAATAGAAACTAAAAACATGTCAAATGTTTAAACTGAGAAAACTTTCAATTTTAAGAAAAAAATAAGGTAATTTTGAAATTGATGGCTGCAACCCGTCTAAAATAATATTGGAACAGGGCCATGTTTACCACAGTGTTGCATCCCTTCTTCTTTTAACAACACTCTGTAAACATCTGAACTGAGGAGACCAGTTGCTGGTTTTGGGAGAGGAATGTTGTTCCATTTTGCCAGATTAAAGGATTCTATTTGTTCAGCAGTGCTGGGTATTTTTTCTCTTATTTTTCATTTCAAGATACAACAAATATTTTCAGTTGGTGAAAGGTCTGGACTTTAGGCAGGCCACTTAAGCACCCAGACTCTTCTACTATGATGCCATGCTGTTGTCATAGATGCATTATGTGGTTTAGCGTTGTCCTGCTGGAATATATTTAGCATTGTACTGCTGGAATATGCAAGGCCTTCTATGAAAAATAATTTTGTCTGGATGGAAGCATATGCTGCTTTAAAACCTGGATATATTTTTCAGCATCGATTTATGCTTTTTCAGCTCTGTCCATTCCATACGTACTAATGCACTGTTAAAAAGCTGGAAGGTCCCTCTCCACTTTAGTCTGGAGGATGCGATGCCCATGTTGCCAAAAGGAATGTAAAATTTTGATTTGTCTGACCACAGATTATTATTATTACACTGGATTTATATAGCGCCAACAGTTTGCACAGCGCTTTACAATATAAGGGAGACAGTACAATTACAATACATTTCAGTACAGAAGGAATAGGAGGGCCCTGCTCGTGGAGCTTACAATCTAACGGAAGGGGGAGGTGATACAAAAGGTGATAACTGCAGGGGATGATCTGTCGGAGGTGATTCAAGTACAGTTCTTAGGTGGAGGTGGGGTAGGCTTCCCTGAAGAACTGAGTTTTAAAAGATCGCCTAAAGGCAGACAGGGTGGGGGCTGACCGGACATGCTGTGGTAGGGAGTTCCAGAGGATGGGGGAGGCTCTGGAGAAGTCCTGGATGGAGGCGAGCGTGGGAGGAGGTGATGAGGGAGCTAGAGAGGAGGATATCATGGGAGGAGCGGAGCGGGCGATTTGGCCAGTATCTGTGGATGAGGTTGGTGATGTAGCTAGGGGCAGTGTTGTGGATGGCTTTGTAAGCTGTGGTTAGTATTTTGAATTTTATACGTTGGGTTAGTGGAAGCCAGTGAAGGGATTGGCAGAGAGGGGCAGCAGTCGCTGATTGGTTGGTAAGGTGTATGAGTCTAGCAGCAGTATTCATAATAGACTGAAGGGGGTATAACCTGTGTAATGGTAGACCAGTGAGGAGGGAGTTGCAGTAATTGAGGCAGGATATAACCAAGGCATGGATAAGTTGTTTTGTGGTGTCATTGGTCAGGAAGGGGCGGATTTTGGAAATGTTCCGGAGGTTGAGGCGGCAGGATTTAGCCAGTGAGTGGATGTGGGGCCCAAAGGAGAGGTCAGAGTCTAGGATTACGCCTAGCACCCTGGCATGAGGGGAAGGACCAATGGTTGTGCTGTTGATCTTGATGGTAAAGTCATGAGTGGGGGATCGGGGAGGAGGAAATATTACAAGCTCGGTTTTTGAAAGATTGAGTTTAAGGTAGTGATGTGACATCCATGCTGATATGTCGCTTAGTAGATTTGTGATACATGAGGAGATTGAGGGGGTGAGCTGGGGAGTGGAGAGATAGATCTGGGTGTCATCAGCATAGAGGTGGTATTGGAAGCCATGGGAGGTTATCAGTTGGCCCAGGGAGGAGAGAGAGAAAAGGAGGGGCCCAAGGAAAGAACCTTGGGGTACCCCAACAGAAAGAGGGAGCGGAGGAGTTGTATGTGACACTGAAAGTGCGCTGAGAAAGGTAAGAGGAGAACCAGGAGAGAGCAGAGTCACGGAGGCTGATGGAGTGGAGTTTACTGAGGAGGGGTGGGTGGTCGACTGTGTCAAAGGCAGCGGAAAGGTCAAGGAGTAGGAGTATGGAGTAATGGCCGTTGGTTTTAGCAGCTAGTAGGTCATTAGTGAGTTTTAGTAGGGCAGTTTCTGTGGAATGTCGCGGGCGGAAGCAAGACTGTAGGGGATCAAGAAGGTTTTTGTCAGTGAGGTAGCAGTTTTTCTCAAATTAGTTTTTTCCCTTTGCAGGCTACCATTTTAAATGAGCTTTGGCCCAGAGAAGATGTCAGCATTTCTAGGTCATGTTCAGATCATGTTCTTCTTTACACGATAGAGCTTAACCTTTCATTTTTGGATGGAATGACGAAGTGTGTTTACAGACCGTGATTTTTGGCTGTATTCTGAGCCCATGCAGTGATGTCCATCAAAGAATCATGCCTGTGTTTAATGCTGTGCTGTCAGAAAATCATGCGCATCCATTATTCTCGGATGATGATGATTCTATGTACCGTAGATGATATTTTTTTGCAATTTTAATATTGAGGAACATTATTTTGAAATGGTTTTGACATTTAACAGCCTTTCACTACTTGATGAACTACTGCTCATCTTTACTTCTGAGAAATTCTGACTCTTAAGATGCACTTTTTATACTCAACCCCAGCTCTTGTTAGTACCACTTGCTTTGCCAGCTTTTTGTTGGTCTGTCTCAACTTTTTTGAGATGTGTTGCTGCCATCAATTTCAAAATTACATGAATTTTTCCTAAAATGGTTAATTTTCTCAGTTTAA